ATGCGGCCGCAACAAAAGTGGCAGCATACGGCCTTTGTCAGCGGCAAAGAAAATTTCCCGTGGACATGGGGTCGTCTACCCCCAACAGAAGCGGCTAGGCGTCACAGGTTCGCGACAAAACAAAATGGAAGAATCAGATCTGACGACCTCAGGGACTTGCATGCATGAAGTTTAAACCAAAGAGCTCGGCTCGGCAACCGGGGCCACAAAGACCCTTGGCGTTGTGAGCGAGCGCAGTGCATGATGAAACGCCAGTCAATCGGCCAACAGATGCCGGAGGAAAACCCACCTCGCAGGACTTGGCGGCCCAGAAGCAAGTGATTCGGATTAACCGACTTCAACAGTAGCTCGGATCCGACCTGGAGTTCACGTCAGAAATCACAGAAGGAACGGAGTTATGTTGCCGAACATCCTCTGCCAGTCCGAACTGACCGAAGGATGTCCTGACACAAGGACCCGGCCAACTGTAGCCGAACGCACAGAACTCCTAAAATGAAGTCGACAAACCATCAGACGGAGGTCGGAAGTAAGCGACAACAAGTCGGAAAATCAACCAGAAGTATGGAATCGACCTCCTAGTGGGAAGAATTTAGCTCGTCGGATAAACATAAAGTTTTTCCGACTTGAGGAAGTCGGAAAATAGCCAACCTTCGAACTTGGACATGGATATCCGACCTCGAGCCGAAGTCGGAAGTGACCGCACAGAAGTTGGAAGGATACGACAACAAGTCGGCAAAGGCATTTAGAAGTCGAGAATCGACCTCCTAACGGAAAAATCCGACCTTCGGACGGATGGAAACATAGTTCATCCGACCTTCCGAAGTCGACTATAACCGACCACATGTCGGAAGTCGGCAACTCAGTCAACATGACGGAAGAAGAACGACAGATATCTGCGGTGGACGAATTCCACTTGAAGGAACTTGTTTAGCCCCACATGGGCATGTTATTGCAGGTTAACCCTAGTCGACCACTGACGGATAGGATAACCGACCTCGACAGAAGGTCGGATAACAACGGAACAGATTGGATGGAAGTCGACTGGACACTTCCATCGCCGAAACTCAAATTCCGACTGACCTTCGAGCCAGTTCGACTCGGATTACTACAAACCAGGCTCGTGGTAGCAGATTGAACGGTTGTAACCGACCACTTTTGAACGGAACTGCTGTGCCATGACGACCACACAGGCCGCATGATTCACTTACAGCTTCGACCTGGACTTTAGCAACCCGGAACATAGCCGAATTCCTTAGCCGCCGGTCGACTTACCGGTAGGCCGACCTTGGTCAAACCGACCTCGGTTCTATTCCCCATTCAGAGAGAGGATGCCTCGGCATTTGCAACCGCAACAGTGCCTCTATCCCGAACGGACGGATACGAGTCGGAAGTGTTTAACCGTGCTTATCCGGCCTCGGTGAATTTAACCGGTTACAACGGGTAACTCGGGAACCGATGCCCCGGACCCAACTTACCGGATGAAAGTGGACAGGAGACCCGTGGAGACTCAACTGCCCTGTGGACGTCATCCTACGGAATAGGACCCCGGACAGATTTTTGCATTTTTTAGCATTTTCCTAACAAACGGAATTGTATTTTTCTATTTCGATCTCTTTGACAGATCTGTTTTGTAACCCTTTTTGCTCACTGGAATTGTGATTAAACTTTATTTCATACTTTCTTTCGCGCGCTGTATACAACTTTCATTACACTTTTCTTTCACATTGTTCTCCGTTGCCAACAGAAGCAAGAAGCCAGCCAACAGAAGCAACACCGGTCCAACGAAACGCCCGAGCGGCTTCCGGATTTTTTCGGCCGTGAGTGGCTTCCACTCATGGGTTCGGAAGTGAAGAAGGGACGGTCGACCAGACACCGGACTCCCACTGCCAGAGGACGCGTACCAGCGACCCCACATTGGGTCCGACTGGAGAGTTGTGCGGTACTGGTGCGGTGAGTCGGAGCATCCTTCGCAGGAGCTCGGATTCCCGCCCAGAGGCATGTCAGAGGCACATGACTGCGCCTGGTGCATGGACCACCATGGACGTATTTGCACTCATGCTTGCCATATCGCCTCTCTCGCTGTACGTACGTGTGCTGCTGCACTGCACTCATATCCGCTGAAGCGGATATATGCGGCGCACACACTGCGCATACTTGCTCTCGTCCCTCTCGCTGTATGACTCCAGCGTACGCTCGCGTTGGATTGAGTCCAGTCTGCGCATCATCACACAGCTGATGGCACAGCACGTGCTTGCCGCCAGTTGCTTCTTTCACGCCTTGACGAACGCTCAAGAGCTCTTCTAGCATTCACTTGCTTGCTTAGCCATCAGTGCTTTGTTTTGCTTTCCCTGCTATTACGCAGCATTGTTCCCTTTATTTGTCAATAAAGCACACTCGTGATCTCCTCGCGCTTGCCTGTTACATATTAGACAGTTAGACAGATAAAGACTTTAGTTTTTATACAGTAAATACGAAATTAGGCTTTACCAGATTTCCGTGTACCTGAAATACTGCATATCGCAGAATAAGTATTAATACTCGATCGATAGGACTTAATCCGGACTCTCAAGTGCATTCTGCGGTCACAAAATATCGATTTTGGAAAAATTTATAGACAATTTTTACTGTGAATCTGTATATGTTGTACTGTATATATAGTACGAACATAATGTACGAACACAATGTAAAAAAAGTTGAATGCAAGATAGCACCGGAAGTTGCCACAGCCGGGTGAGCTGCATTACCTAAGATTCATGAAAACAATATTTAATTGTTTTTGTAGGCATTTTACAAACGCGGGATAAAGAATTCCATCAGATACACCTGCCACTTTGCATCGCGATGTGCCATGACGTCGTCGACGCGCGGACGCTGCAAAGCCTGTCGCTTCCGCCGCTGTGAGGAGGAGGGAATGAGCGTCGACGGTAAAGAGTACCAGCACCGGAAATGATTGTACTTACAGAAGAGTTACGGTCATGAGCATGACGTTACGGTTTTCAAAAGCATGAGGTTATCAGCTCTTAGAATTCCAAAAAAGTCTTTGCGGTACCTAGAAGAACAGGCACAACGTCCGTCTGGAGTAGCTTTGAGGCATTTAATGTTAATTTGCAATGATTTGATTACGGCAGTTATACAGATAAGAAAGCAGAAGTACATGACATAAAATTAGAGCAAAGGAGAGAGTAGAAGAGCTGAATGAGGTATTTCTGTCGTGATATTAAGTTTTTAATTGTTTGATCAACTGATCCAGTTCATTTCGTAGGTGTGCTGATTTGTATTCTGTATTAGTTTTGTTTGCCAGTAATGTACGGTACACGCCCGTCCGGAGTTAGAGCATGATAGAGAACAGCGAACAATGTAAATCCATGGGTTACGCCAAACAACATACTACGCCACGACACGTCACACTCTTTAAACACGTAACATGCTTTTGGCTGACTGGTGGCTTGGTGCACGCCATATATTTTAATGAGTATAATCGTAATTGTCTGGCGAAAGGTGGCTAGGAAACAGTCGGTGCAGTAAGGGACAATCTAACTGCGGAGCGCATTAACGCATTGTGGTAGACGTAGTGCAGTGGCCATCGTGCTAAGCGCTAACATCGCGCTTATTATGCGTTAGCTGTTTTCTATCATGCTCTAACTCCGGACGGGCTTGTACATGCTACCGTTGATCTTGTAAGTTGTACGTACATAATTGTATGAATTACCTGTGTGAACGGCCAGAAATTTGCAGCAATGGGTCTGAAAGGCAAGCGAAATATTTCATCAAAGAACTCTTCAAGAAAATCTGACGTATTCACATCCGGAATATCACCCATGCCCGAAAACTCTGGTACTCGTATTATACTTACAATTAAAATGTCGCAGCGCAATATTAGTATCAGTGCGAGTATTTTACTATCTGACCGGTGAATATCTCTAGAAATAAGCCGGATATGCCCGGTGTCCAGCACAAATTGTGCTGCCTCCCTGGAACTGGAACCGCCATCCCTGTGGAGGGAGCCAGCGCTTACCGATCAGGATTTAACGACAAAGGATGCACCTGGTACACGAGTGTTTCGAAACGTTGTGTTGTCATTACAACTGCTCAAAGCTTTGAACTGCAGCACAAAGTTTATTAAAAATTGTGTAACATTTACAGTAATTCTTTCCCAGTTGTGCACAGCAATACGGATTAAACGCTTTCATTTATTTGCGTATGTCAGTAATATGTACGTACATCGCGCCATATTCGTATATATTTTTTTAAACATTTTAGTATTAATTTTTAAATGCCATAGAATTTTAATCGTTCCGATTCGGAGACAGTGAATAATGCTTCAGGTCCGGCGGAACTGCTATGGTTGGAAGAGCTAGAGGATATCCAGCGCAGCCGGGCCGGTATAGTAACATCTGGCAAAAGAGAATCGTCGCCCTTTCCTGAGAAGAGTATCATCCTCTGGTCGGATGCTAACAGCGCTGGGGTGGACCAAATGGACCACATCAGAGATATCTGGGCCGACCGGTTATCGAGCAATACGCATCTCGCTTTAGATGGTCTCAGTCCGCACACGATCTCGGCGCTTAGCGTAGAGGAGCTCGTCCAGTCGGGATATCGTCTGCAGAGTCCGCTGTTTATGCACAAGTATGTCGGTGCGGTGTGCCGGCGCAACGTTCTGCTGCAGGTCACCTTCGAAAACGTACAGCGCATCGTTCGTGATTCGCTGTGTGGACTGTGCGATCGTTATTTGGGTCAAAAGGAACAAGCCCAAATTCTTCATTACTCTGCGGTAAGAAGCATTTTTATAATCTTTTACTGACAAAATATCGTTTGCAACGGCAGCATGTTATAACCGACAAATAAAAGGCTGCATTAACCGGCATTCAGCTCGACTCTACAAGTAAATTTTGCAGTCATTATGGTTTTTGGTCTGCAAATTCAAAAGTCGATGGATCATATAGAAACTTATAATGTTCTGCCTTCATTTGATTAAAAAACACAACACTCCGTATGACCTTTGCAGCCTGATTTCGGCGCAGCGGTTCGGGACGAAATTGCCTTCTGGACGGCGATCATAAAACGATGCGCTATGGCTATTCCAGGCTTTACTGATCTCACTGATGAAGCTCAGCAGATTCGCGTAGCAGAAAAATACTCGGTGTTTTGGGTGGTATGTCTCGCCCTAATGCGTTTACTTTAACCAGCTCTCTCTTTAATTTTCCGCTATATTATTGTCTTTCAGATGTTTTATTTGGACGCCCTGTCCAAAAAAGACCCCGACCAGCGACTATTGGTGTTCCTCCACAAAGAAGATACATCGAAGGCGTATTATCTCGACTGGGTATGCGAAGCCGACTACGTGGACTTTGTGGTGCAGTTATCCGTCCGCATTGAAGCGCTGCAGTTAAATATCGTGGAGAAGTTCCTGCTGTTTGCTGTTTTACTGTTCGAACCCGGTAAGTGCAGGCATAATTAATGCCACCGGAAGTTAAGGCATTTCTTTTCTCTTTTTTGATATAAATGGAACGTTCCTGCAATAACTCCTCTAAATTGTTAGCATAACACTAGTACAATACATCACGTAGTGATTAGTTGCATAATCTTGAGCAAAAATACAGCTACAGCCTTGTAAGATTTCAGATCCATAAGCCACTGACCATAAATTATAGATACGGCGGACGACGTACATGTTGATTTCGGTCACACAGGAAATCGGTTCCAAGGTGTACACATAGTGACATAATTATATGATATACGTACAGTATATGCGTACGCTTTGTATACTACAAACCTACCTTATTCTTTTTAATTTTCCATGTACGTACAACTTTTTTTCTGAAACTGAGAACAAAATGCTATCTTTTGCGCCTTTGTGATTATTACCACATTAACCAGATTATGTTGACCGACAGTTGACCAGATTATAAGATAACTAGTACGCCTTGTAACCCGTACAACCCTGATGGTTATATTGCAGCCGCGGCGCCGGGGAAAGATGAAGGGCTGTTGGCCGTTCTGCACCAATATTACATGGACGTCCTGACGTATGTCACGAGCAATCGCCCCGGTGACAAGAATATCATGTCCCGCATCGAGCAACTGTGGCCAGTATTTCGCCTATACCAAGAGATAAATCAGCGGTACGTACTGCAACTGGATTCCGGTGCAATGCCCATGACGCTGCGTAGTGGTCAGCGTTTCCGCGATGTGCTGTCAATCATTCCACCCGCAGAACAATCAATGGAGTGTTGACTACCTGACTAGAACAGGACTGCATTATCTCATCGTCTTTTTTTAAATAAACATGCTGGCTTTAAAATCCTAGAGTAATTTTTTAGACTGGAGATGATAGGCAGTATTAACATTAGAGATGCTTGGTATATTTTCTTGACTTTAAGTAACTTATCTTTCCCTAGGTATTGATTACGGTACTAGTCACGGTACGAAATGATCATAAAGGTTGCACCATTCTTCAAATTACGGCAAAGTAAAAAAATAACAACCCAATGTTACGGCAAAGAAAAAGAATAACAACGCAAATTTAGCGAAAAAACAAAGAAACGGCTCTCTTGTCACAGCTTCTGCGGTAGAATAATCACTTTGTATTCCGCCGCACTAACTCTGGTAAATGCCGATCGTACACATAATTATCCTCTTTACGAAGAGAATTCCGGCACGCAATGGCCGTCAAATTATTAGATGCTTTGTATTTAATTATTTCAGCGCAAGGATCGGCAATAGCCTTTTGCTATCACCGTATGTCACAGCTTCGTATTTCATAATATGGAACCAACATTCTTTAGGAAAAACCGAAAGGGTGAATAATATTATAGCACCGACTGTGCGGTACTAGTACCGTACTACCGTAACAGAACTTACCTACTCTTTACTTTTCTTACGAAAGTACTCCAATAATTCATAATTATGGGAGGTGAAACTTGTTTCGAGCTGGTGAAGTATTGTAATAATCTTAAGTATGATTATTATTCTGGTCATTAAGTCTGGTCATTAACACAAAATTAAAACAATGGAGTAATTATAGGAGTTTACGTTTCTTACGTTTCTTATGTTGTTCTTATGTTTCTCTGAAGTTTTCCTCGTGTTTGGTTATGATTTCTCTATTTTTTAAAAAATTTACTGAAGCCAGCAGATTGTCGACAGCAAGATGTCGGGGCTCAGCAAACTGTCGTTCAGCAACTTTTCGTTCATCGAGTTGTCGCTTCAATAAATTATTGTCGGGTAAACATTCGTCGGTCAGCAAAGAGTCGTTAGCAAGTTGTAGGTCAGCAAGACGGCGTTTCATTTATCAGCAGACTGTTGGTGTGACGCTCGGCGGCATGGAATATACGTTTTGCTGCTTTATGAACATCAGAAAAGCTATTCGGTAATGTTTGCGATAGCGTAATAGTATTGCTTTTGTTTTTGTGTGGCAAAATTTGAATAGTATCGATGCAATGCGGCATTTTATTACCGACGTTGCGTGGATTGTTGATTGTCATCCAGAATGATTCGTTTCCCAAGGCGTTCTCCTTTTGGTTTCCGCCGTGCTAAGGATACCCCTAAAACAGTTGTACTGACACTTTTGTCAGCTTCAGCGTTTGTGCTTCTGGTTTATGATTCACGTTTGTCGAGCACACTTACAAATGCCGAAGGGATTTCAGCGGAAGTGCGTACAGTCTGTATTACCGAACAAGCAGAATCAGTCAAAGCAAAGCGGAACCGTCGCTTTCGGAGTCCAGAAAGCATTATAATTTTAATTGGGAATTATCGTGATTCGCGACGGTGTTCAGAAACACTGAACTCGTTGTTTTCGAACGCAGTTAATCCGGAAAATTTAAAAGTTGCCATATATGACCAAATCTACTTACAACAAGGTGAAGAGCGATGCGTTGATGTGTTCTGCAACCTCATTGGTGAAAGCAGTTGTTTTCGGGACCAGATTGTCAATAAAACGGCGGACGCTGCTAACGCTACCGGTCCAACGCGCGCAAGATACGAAATAGAAAATTTTATAGGAGACGAACAATTTTGTTTGTCCGTTGACTCCCACGTTACATTTACTGATAGATGGGATCAGAAACTGCTGCATGATTGGTTCTCTCTAGCGAATAAAAAGGCAATTCTTACAGTATATCCCAAATCAGCTCCAAATTTGGTTGATGCTGCTTCTGATCAGGTTCCTTACATGTGCAATGCAAAAATAGAATCAGCCGATGCAGACGCTATGGTGCAGTACGGGTCGGCAGTTTCGGTAACAAGGGCGTCCAAGCCGCGTTTAATGCCGCAGTTTGCTGCCGGATTCAATTTTGGAAGCTGTGAGCACGCCAAGGAAGTCCGCAGTGACCCCTACACGCCCTTTTTGTTCCACGGGGAGGAGTATTCCCGAGCAGCTCGGTTATGGACACGCGGGTAAACATAAACCCCATCAATAAGAGACATATGAATCTTACTTATCATAGTAATATCGGTACATTTATTAATTTTATTTAGACGTTTACTCAGACCTGAAATGAATAGATCACAATTACCCTTAAATCTGTCAATAAATCAGTGTTTTTTTGTCCCCGAAAAGTCAAAATTTGTCCTAGAATATTTTTATCATAACTGGACATAAATATACCGGTTTAAAGTACAGTACGTCATTTTCGTGTATGAATTCTTTGTTTTATCAGCTGAGTGTCAGTGTACATGTACTATAACATAATTATTTGCTTGCCGGCTGTAATTTGTACGGGTATGCTTCTTTTCGTATATTTGCTCGTACAGGTGACAGGAGTACATTATTATGCCATGGAAGTACTACAAGTTTTACCGTACGCTACTGTTATTAACAATAATTCGCTAAGTATGTGCTTTGTGACGTAGTACGTATGTAGAGTAGCTGACGTTCAAAATGGACACAAAACGAATTTTTTTCATCGCATTGTAAAACAAAACAAAGTTCTTTATCGCATTTTTATCGAAAAACGTATTGGCAGAGGTTGCAGTATGTTGTTGTCCTGTATGACAGGTATGACTTCTACGCGCCTACACAGGATATTGTGTTCCACTGGTACGAGACCCGAAAAGTTGTCTGGGAGACAGACTGGGAAGAACGATCCTTAATACAGAAAAAGTCGCGCCGCCGAATTCGTTACATGATGGGGCTTAATGTTTCCAGCCGTGATTTTGATGAGTTCGGGCTAAAAAAGTTTGGTTTAGGCAAACGAAGGACTTTCGCGCAATGGCAGAACTTCACAAAGATTGACCCAGGGGCTTCATTTGATGCAAGCAAGGATCATCAGTTCAGCAACTGTGGAGAACTATCCTTCGTTCCGTACAAATAACTAATAAGTAATAATTTTTCTTTTATGTTTTCGTATCGTCAAAGTTTACACTCACCGTAAACAATGGATTTGGCGGTGTACCAAATATGTACTACACTGCAGACTGACACATGTGTATTATTTGAATGTGATAACAAATTAACAACCATGGTTTGTTTTCGGCTTCCTGAACAAGTTGCCGAAAAATTAACGTAAGCACATGTGTCCAATCGTTACCTAATTGTATACATATGTTAATTCGTTTTTCGGTAGAAAATAATTGGCCAGCCACAAAGTGTATTTATCTTCGTTCGCGATTTCCGATTTCGTTATCTAAGCAGAAGTTCGAATAATTATCAATAAATCTCTAAGACAGAATCGTGGCTGCACTGCGCAGACTTTGGTTATGTATTAAATAACTTTCACTTTTAATATCGGCAAGGGGTAACTGACCGAGCAAAATCAAGGAAGTTGTATCTGTACACGTGCGGCGTGCATTAAACGGCGTCATCCGCTCTTCGAAGCACCGTTTGCAAGTCATCTCGCGATGGCGCCGTTAAATTCACTAAAGAAGAGCTGATGGCAATCGCAAAGTTTCGCGCCAAAATTTAAGTGGCGGAATGTTCCAGTTTTGATTGAATTGTATTGTTGTTGGCTGGCCGCTGCTCTTGAACGATGGAGCATTTTGGGTGAAAGCGGAAGTTTCTTCTGAAACGAATAAAGTACATGATGTATTAACCTTATACTTCTGTATGAATCGTATGCTTCTGTATATATAATATAGCTGGTTTTCTATCTATTTTTGTATTTCCGTTAAAATATTTTTTTGGCGATAACAAAATACTTGCAGGAAATTTTGCCGGCTTTTTGACCATAAAAAACTTGTGCCGGTGTTTTGATCACACAAAAAGTCGGTCGGCAGAAAATTCTGTCGGCGTTTTGACCTTGGCCGCTTACAGATGCAGCACTGCTGATCTACATACGCTATAGATGTGACTGAACGTGCGGTGCGCTACTTGGTAGTACCAAGGTGGTAGTACCGCGATGTACGGGCGTACGTACATTGCGCTTAATTATTGTTCATGCTCTTTGATTTGACGCTACCGACTGACCTAGCGGTTTATATCCGCTATCGCATGTGCCGTATATACTGTACGAGCTTGTCTGACGAATCGATACGAGTACAGCGAATATCTATATTATATACAAATTCATGACGTAGTGTAGTGGCAACTGCCATAGCCTAAACTTCGTACCACTGTGCTATACTACTGTTGTCCCACTGTGCTATACTACTATAGAGCGGCATTGGCTGTCTGTACCTTTAGTCCTTTATATAGGAAATCTCCGAACAAGCTTGTACCAGTAATGTACGGCTGATGCGATAGCGGATATAAACAGCTAGGTCAGTCGGTAGCGATTTTATGCTTATGATCTTGGCCCATTACTTTTCCAGCTTACTCGCGTAACAGATTGTTCGTCAGCAGATTGCACCAGCTTACTGTTTGTGTTTCTGTTGTTTGTCTAGTCTCGTTGCGAATAAAGACTCATTCACCACGACCTTTTTATGTGCATTACCTTTGACACCTTCCGATCTAGCTACTCGACGACAGTCAACATTCTCTGCAACTGAAATACCGAACTAATTCAACCCAATTTTGGTTGCCAACCGACTGTCAAAACAAAACTCCAGAGAGACCGAAGAACATGGGAATACTAGAAGAAAAATACTGTACTCAAATATCAGCGCTCTTTCTCATCCGGCACACCCCGGCTGCACCCCAGTCCCCGCTTTCTTTCCACGCGCCTTCCACGCCTTCACATCCACATCCCGCACTTGCAAATCAATGAACTCCACCGATCGCGGTTTTTGTCCGGCGAAATTAACGATGTGGCGACCAAAACACGACCGGGCATACTCCGCCGCCTCCCTCTGCGCCAGCACCGCTCGTTCACGGACTAGAAAGTCCGCGGCGCGAATCACCTTCTTCGTGTGAACCAGTATCCTCTCACCGCCCAGACATCCATCGCACAGCGACACGACGACGTGCGGCGGGCTTGCCGCGATGACTTCCGCCGGCAGCCAGTATTCAGCGTTTCGGTCGACGAAGACCGGTTCTTTGTGCTTGAACTCTAGGCCGGCGACACGAATAACGGGAGGCTGACGCGGTGCGGTGGGGAATGGGAGGGACGGTTTGGTCGTGGCGTTCTTGTAGCAGTAAATTTGCGCCAGTTCGTCTTGGGATAGCAAGCCCAACTGCGCATCCAAGGGAATAACTTATTTAATCCGAATTAAATTATTTTTTCTAAATGAACAGGTAAATTAATTCTATCAAATAAACAAACTCTAGTTTTTTTTGTTTTTATTTACATAAAGTACTTCCAAATTTATTAAAGCCAAGATACCTAACCATTTCTAATTCGGCCAATTAATTTTTCGATAATTCGTTCTAATTAATTTTTCGATAATTCGTTCTAGCTACTGTTGCACAATTCAAAATGAATAATTCTCGTTGCTGTTGCATTATGGTTTTTGTTTATTGTTACTGGTTGCGGCTGAAAATAACTAAGCACTTCTAATTTAAACCAACTAATTTTAATTTAAAGTAATTAATTATGGTTACTGCTGCATCTAATGAAGTAAATTAACGCGAGATCCTGACCTCCATCGAGGCGTCAGTCAGCAAAGCGTCGGTTAGGAGCGGGAAACGTATGAGGCGGAAGGCATCGCCCAGCACCTGGCGCCGGTTAGCGGGAGATGGATCCAGGTTGTTGCGAGAGCAGGCCGCAAACGCCCAACTGCAACATTAACAGTAATGGAGAAATCGCATGTTACGCAGTACAGTTCCCACTGTTTAATGGAAAACCGAATACGCAATAAAAATAAAGAATACAATAACAAATAAAAAGTCCAAAATAGCAAAAATGCAGCCAATAATTTCAGAAAAAATGTTTTATCGATGCGACGACGCGGTACAACGGCTTCTTTTACTCAAGTTCTCAACCAATGCAACATTTGTCGATCCAGGTGCTACTGAACAGCACAAGCACTGCGTATATAAAAACCAACTATTTAATTTACTATTATTTACTATTGTATTTACTGTTTTATATTTCATTTGGATTTAATACTATTTTCTTTATTTGCAGTCAATACAATTTAATACTATTACGTACTATTTTAGTTGATATTTGTTTAACTTATTATTTTTTTCTGTTTATTTACAGTATTTGCAGTAAGTGGCATTAATTTCTTAACAATTAGTTTATAAGCTTATTAACAAACACTAGCATCATATTTATTTCATTACCCTAAGGATTTTCGGTAAATATTTCGTTTACTATGAAATGAGAAGTACAGCCAACTGGTGCGGAAAATGTCATTAAATGTACAGACCTCTCGGCGGCCTTGTAAACGCTGTCTTCATCGGCGGTAAGTGTATTGCGTCGGAGCACCAACACCAGCGTCTTCAGTTCCAACGCCGCAAAGTCATCCAGGAACAGCACTTCGCTGTAGGCGTCCACCATCTCCAAGCACAGCGGGAGGCAATCTTTGGCGTCCCATCGAACGGCCTGCAGAAACCGACCAAAGAGTCAGGCACCTGCTTGCGATGTTTATTATCCTTAATTCTTCCAGTTACAGTAGTCACAGACTCACCTCCTTAATGAAAACATTTTACCAGAAATATTTTTCATTTAATAAATATTTTTTGCTTTATTAAGGGAGCTCTTGGGAAATTTTCTTTTGTTATCTTTGCAAAAATTATGTTTTCAACTTTGAACAAAACTGTGCTTTTTTGGTTTTGCTTTCACGAAATACAACTTGCATAAGAACTAATCAGAAATTTTTGTTATAACTGTATAATCAACAAAACAAATCTGAGATACGGTGCTGCAGAATGCGATTGTCGACATACGTTATCAAGGAAGAGCAGACAGTTGCTGGCGCGCAGACTGTGACTGACGAACTCGCTGCAGTGCTGTAGCAGTGCTGGCAGCTGGTATTTCATAGCCACGTTCATCGTGGCGAAGACGTTGTGCGCGCTGAGATTGGGCAGTGGATCCTCACGACACTGTACATGGCTGAAATTTGAAAACACATGCAAACAGCAAACTGATTGATTTTATACTGATTTTGATTTTAAATTTTAATCAAAAATAAGCAGCAGCATAGCTTATGGTTTGAAGAACTCTTGTAGGAATTAGAAATGGTCGCTACCACCTTTCAGTACCTGAGCATATGGGAAAAGGCATCCGGTAGAGCATCAGGAACCTGGACCATGTTGACAGCAGGTTCGCTGGAACCTCCGTAGAAGATGGCATGAAACACGGGACTAACACTGGCCAACGCAGCCCTGTAAAATAATCAAGGCTCTCTCCAAATGCAGTGGTATTATCGCGCGCGCAGGGTACTTGCACAGTGCTGTCGTACTTGGAAGCAGAGAAGATTTTCTCTTGGCCATGATCCCGTCCAACAACGAAGTCCACATCGCGGATTGCTAGTTCCTCTTTGTGCAGAACTGGATCCACCGCGCCGCGATCGCGGGGCATCGCGGAGTCGCACATGGCTCACTACACCCGAAAGTAGGGAAAAACGCAAAATACAAAACTGAAAATACCAGTGCAAGTCGATATCACTAACGATTTGCAAGTTACAACATATCGACAGAAAACTGAGAAATTACTTAACCTACAGTCAAACAGCTGATTATCAAGGAATGTAGTGAGCACTGAGCACGCTTGTTTTAGTCTACAGGCTGTTTGAAACACAACGCCACCCGTGGATGGGAGCCGCTGACGCGGTTTCCTGCTGCACAAACCCCCGCTGGAGGCAGTCAACCTACTTCCGGTTGCTAACTGTATTTCCGGTTGTAAGCAGCAACAAGTGCAAGCTGAGCAACATACTGTATTTTGAATTTCCGGTTTAATGTAGAGTTTTTGCGTAGTGTTCTCGAGCTAGTCACTAGTGAAGAAAACTTCTTACAGCGTAGTTCTCGTTTCCCAACTTGTTTAAAGTATGTTTAGACGGACCTAAATTAAGCACTAAAATTGCAGGCTGCAATATATCTGAATTGTTATAAGTCATAACTGATCCTCTGCCACTGTGGCAGTTGTACAGTTTCTCATTCCGCGGAGCCCCTTGGTGTAATTGACCATGTCCCTGAATTCAACATCACCTGCGTATTTACAGCGTCGTGGCGCCATTGACGGGGTCATCGGTCGCATGAAGCGTGCCTTATCCCTCGCCGAACTAAGCGATGTACAGTTCGCCGTGGGACGCGATCATGGCCAAGAGAAGATTTTTCATGCTCACAAGTACGTGGTGACGGTGTATTTCACCGAAGAAAATCCTTTTCAGCTTGATAGAAAATGTGATTTTGTGTAGCATATTCTTGAGCCTGAGCAGCGATGTATTTCACGCCATGTTCTTCGGGAATTTGGCTGACAACAATCAGGACATCATCCAGATCCCCGAGATTCCGTCCGCAGCATTTGCTAACATGCTCAGGTCGGTCAGAAAGTGTACAACTCAGTACAAGTATGAATTTTGTTGTTTTTCTACCATGCGGCGGGGAATTTGATAGTTACATATATGAGAATGCCGTGGACGATCTGAATTGGCAGAACGTATTTCCCACTTTATACTGCGCCGACATGTATGACCTGCCATGGCTGGCGGAGATCTGCTGCGTCTATATACAGGTGGAACTCAACACAAAGAACTGTCTCATAGCTCTGGAAAATGTAAGTTGCACTGATCAGAAGCTTGTTTTCGTTTGGATTTCGATACTAAGTAATTGAATCCTTCTGTGGTTGAAAGCAGACAGTTTGAAGCGATTTCAAAATGATCTGCAATCCAATGACTTGATTAGAAATTTAGAATCTGGACGTACGAGCAAGAAATTTACTTGCTAAAAATAAGGATATTTATTCTTTTTAACATCGTTTCTCCAGTTTTTTCGTTGTATTCTTATTCAGCACAGGAATTACTATAACTTCCCCAAAAATTGCCAGTTATCACAAAATTATTACAGAATACAGATGCTGTATTTATGACGTTCGAAATTTATGGCATTGAATTCTGTATAACGATTATCCGGACTTCCGAGTCGAAATTAATAGTGTGGTGAAATATGGTAATTATTGTTGAATATTTTTTTATTTTTGATTAATGATTTATGCTATTTTTTCCCATTTCAAAAACACGAAGCCTCGTTTAATATTACAATGATTGTTCTTACACACAAAAAACTGAAGCGTTTGAAACGTTTGATCTACTTTACTTTCATTTGCACTTTGCAGATTAACGTTTGGGGTCCGAATTTCGACAGTATTGTGGAGGCATGTTTGGATCTGATAGACGCCTCGGACGGTGCCGTCTTCCAGTCGGAATACTTCACGGGACTGAGCCATGGAACGCTGCAGATGGTTGTGCAACGCCCCACACTGGCAGCGCCCGAATACATCATCTACACAGCTGTCGAGGCTAAGTGGCATTTGCCATTTTTAGACCGGAGCGAGTGGAGAGCACTGCGTCAGTCTCAATCGGTGAAATGTGACTAAGATTTGGGTTGTTCCTAATTGATTAAGTATTCTTAGATGGGCTGTTGAGGCTTGCAAGCGCAAGAATGTGGACCCATCCACCATTAACCGGCGGGAAATCCTGGGTGCCGTTCTCTTCCTTGTTCGCTTTCCGCTGTTGACCGATGTTGAGCTAGCCAGCGGTCCTCTCAAAGTAAGTACGTGCCGGTACAGCCATCCCCGTTGGTATTGGTTTACGTCATATTTATATTTTGAGCCTTCGAAGTGCGCCCTACTTTTTCTTCAGCTTAAAAAATTTGTTTTTTCACATTGTTACCGTTGTTTTACGACGTGTAACCGGCGAAACTCGTACTTGTTTCGAAATCTTTACACTTCATTGAACGTTATGTGCCATTTTACAAAAATCGGGTGATAGGATGACACCCGAGTGAAACAATTTGTAAAAAATACGTTAGCTAAACGTTAGTTAAAGGCCACATGTTCGAATTTTGGCCTTTAACTAACGTTTAGCTAACGTATTTTTTAAAAACTGTTTTACTCGGGACATTTAGAGCATGGCTGTACGGCTGACTTTTTGCTCTTTATTTCGCGCCAAGGTGTACAGATCATTGATCATCATTCGGCTGTAGAATGAGATAGAACGGGTAATAACAAGTGCCTGAGTGAGCAAACGCGGACATTTTAGTGGATGTGTAGAAGGTTATTTCCTTTAAAGCGACAGAAAACGTTAATATAATCACAGGATCTACGGTACAAGCGGATCCCGCATATCTAATAATTCAGATGTGTGTGTCTTCGTTTCAGAATGCTTTGTTGCTTCCAGCGGAACTCTGGGACATCTTCATGTACAAACATAACAACGAGAATCTCGTGCTGCCTTTTGACTGTCAACCGCGCAGTTACCTGCAATACCGAGTCGGGGAGGCGGTATTCAAACACAACGAAACGGTATTTGCGCAGGGCCTCGATGACGTCTGGTACCCGGCGGAGGTCATCGGAGTGTCAGAGCAGAATGTCAGGATTCACTGGATGAGAAAGAACAATAAATGCTGGCCCTTCATGAGCCCTCAGTACGTCATTCGTGCTGCGGATATTCTGCAACGTGGCCAACGGCTCCATATCCTCGTTTCGGGTGTGCCCGGTGTGGTTAGCTACTGTCACCGACGGGCGGGCCAGCATGTGGTGGAGGTTGATGGGCGGGAAATGTCGTTTAAGACGGAGGATCTGCTGCTGCGTCAAGACGAGGTCATAGCGTGGGAAGCGGCCAACAAAAACGAAGTAAATGGTTGAAAATATGCCATTATATGCAGTACTCGTATAACATTAACCGGTAATACGCGCAGGCTGTTTTGCTGCTTATTGAGCAAGTCTTCTTTGTAATCTCGCTTCGGTTTTGTTATGGGCATGTTTCGGATCATCCTACTCTAGTTTTCTTGTTCCTCGTTCTGTTATGGTAATCTCTTAGTGATAAATATGATGAACGGTCAGCAACATGGTAATTTATTTTCGGTTAAGTGAAAATCGATTTAAATTAACTGAATACCTTGATAGCGGGATCGGTAGTAGCTGCACCATGCTAGGGCTGGGTTAAGCTCACATAGAAGCTCTGAAAAAAACCTGTCAATCGCGGGAGTCGCAACCACGCCACCATGGTTTTAGACCGGTATGATTGCCTCGGGGCCATCGACAAAGCATACAAATTGTACTGAAACATTTTACGGAAATGCTTTACACTGAGAGCGTGTCTCTGACATTTGCACGAAATACTGTGCTCGCCACGTCCACGAAGTCCTGCAAAATAATCAAGGTTTTTTTCACTAACAACGGGATTTACGAGTAATATGATGCGCAAAGGAAAGGTCGCACTTACTACAGTATTCTGTACCTACTGCGATTTTTTTCTTGACCATGTTTCCAATGCACATGTTTGAATCACTTACTCGAGTAGATAAGAAACTGAAATATACTGCAACTTGTGTGCTTATAATTATTGTATTATCGAAATCAATGTTGTTTTGCATTTTTATATTTTTGTACTGATGCGCGAATAGTGTTGTTTTTTCATTATACTGAGTATCCATTCACATTACCTCTCTTTGTTTTTTGAAGTATTGTTTTATGTCCTAGAAATACTGTTTTGTAGTATTGTTTTTTATCATTCTAATGCCAAATGATTTTGCTTATATTGGTCTGAAAACCGTTTGTTCGCGGTTTCTGCCGATTGAAAAGCTCACGGTACCATTTGATCTTCTAATGTTAGGAACAAGCTATGAATTTAATGTTGCTTCAGGCGGAAGTTAATAGCTAAAATCTTTTAATACAAAGTGGCTTACGTCTTTTTAATACAGATTTTAAAAAAGATCGGATGATTTCCTGGTTTCGAACGTTTTGTTCGTTTAATTCATCATTTGTCAGCAACCGGATGTTGCCCGCGCAGATGGCTTTAGGCAAGCGTAAGCAGATAATTTAGACAAAAAATGACATTGAACGATACAAAAAAGAGTTTAGAACTTCGCGAAATTATGAAGTTCTTAGGGTGTTAACCATCGTCTCCTTCCAGAATGCTTTGCTGCTTCCAACAGAACTCTGGGACATCTACATGTACAAGAACACTTCGGACAAGCCGGTGATGCGTTTTGACAGTGCGCCGCGTCGTTCTGTGCAGTTCAGTGTTGGATGGGCGATGTTCAAATATGGTGAGATAGTATTTGCGGAAAGCGACGGTGACGACTGGTATCCGGCGTTAGTAATCGGGCACGAAGAGGTGGATGAGTACCATGAACCGGGGGAGGTCGTCATTCAGTGGCTGCGCGAGACCGCCAGTGGTGACCAATTTCGATTTCCGGAGGACGTCATTCGTGCTGCGGATATTCTGCAGCGTGGCCGACGGGTCCACCTGTTCGAAGCGGGAATGTTTAAAGCGGTCAGCTACTGCCACCGCCGCGGGGGGCAGCACGTGGTGGAAGCCGGTGGTCGGGAAAAGTGCGCGAAAATTGAGGATCTGATGTTGCTGAATGAGGTGGTTGCATCGTGGAAGCAAGCGAAAAACTAGTGGTGCTAGAGAAAGGTGTCGGTTCGGGTGATATTTAGCGCAAGGTGTGTAGGGTACCCGTTGAATGTTGTTGATCAATTCTTTGTAATCTATTTTTGTATAGTAGTTGTTTTTTCTTTGTTTTATGAGATTATTGCTGAAACTAGTCGAACGCTGCGGATCGTGCAATTTACGCGTGTGTATGCAGAGAACAGTGATTTAAATTCCCCAAGGTTTTCCAGCGCTGAAATAAGGGAGAAAAATGTCAGCGATCGGTACCCTTATGTACCATATACCGAGTGCGCACGAATGTACGGAGGTGGTGTAATAAAATTTATGTGTCTTCAGTTCGAATAAGCTCGGAGGCAAATTAAATTTACAAGTAAACTTAAAATAATTATGCAGATGAAATAATTATCGGAATAATTATCGGACCGGATTGTTACGAAGTACGAGTAAGCATAACGCACAATGTGCAACTTACATGTGCCAACAGCCCGAATGCAGGCGTGCCAAAAATAACAACTCTTGCTAGTCTGTATGGTTATTTCCCGGTAAGGAGTTATTTATTTTTCTTAATTGTGCCGTGCTACACTTGAAAAGGAATTCGATTCACGAAAACCCCACTCGCCAACATGAATTTTCCATATCGTGCATTTGCCGCTCACCGCCCGTGTCGTTCGTATTGCGTGACTTTATTTTAAGGCAAATGTCAGCTGCGTTTCGAAGGTACAGTAGTTTCTAGCGCGCTCTTTTGTTTACACGTTTGTACACTGGTATGGCCACCCTGTGCGGTACAACGCTATAATCAGCTAAAGTACCCATAAAGTGGCATAATATTAGAAAGAACGCTGGGAAGTTTTTTTTCATACAAATACGTATTTATCGCTGTCTATATTTTACAGGGGATTCCAAAGCATTTACAGTAACTTAGAAGGCAATCACTCTTATTAAGCATCAATCGAGAGGGGCGGCCTAATTACAGAGAAAATTTGATCTAAATTTGCTCCCAATGGCGCTGTCCCCATGATCGATGCCGCATTTCCTCGTTGAATTTCAATGCTGATCCGTTGGCGAAGGTGTTCCGTGGCACGTTTTTCGCTTGGGAAGTTACTGGGCCGGCCTGGTCGGTACCGACAAACCAACCTCCAATACGTTCAATAGATCTTCGATTTACAAACAGCGCAGCTAAATAAACACGCAGTTTTCCATATTATGTTATAATACGGAAATCCGCATAGATCAGTAGATGCTGAATAATAAGTAATGTTTTCTTGAGACTGTATGACAAATGTACAGTACATTTAAAATAATTGCTGAGGTGCTGCAATAATTATGTGCCGCATATACAAGTACACTTACAATTAGTACAGTGAGCAGTGCATCTTGACGGCTACGTCTTAAAACAATCCTCGTGCGCGGTTCTGTTGTTTAATTTGATGACTGCTGATCGGCCAGAATGTTAACTATTCCCGCTATAAGCCTATAACTAAGCCCGCTATACCGGTACGAGAGGCTGCAGAAGATGCTCTTCTCTAAATTCCAGTGTTTTTTAAGTGCGTCAAGGTTCGGTAATGAGAGAACTCAGTAAACCTAGCACGCACTGTTCAGTAATGAGTAGCTGCCTAGATGGCATTCGCACAGTCGATAATTATCGATGTAGAGATAGTGTTTTTTTGACTGATGCGTTTATGTTTTATTCCACCGAGCATCACCAAATTTGTTTTATTCTTCAAACGTCACAATTCCCCACAGTTTTAGTGCTGTGTTGAAACATGTAAATTCTTAATCCTTTAGTGTTAAATGTCTTATTCTTGGTCTTGGGCGGAGAAAGAACAGAAAATCGCGCGCAATGAACAACATACTAATTGACTGGATGTACAGTATCGGTATTCTGTCACTCTGTACTTAACTGACATGGGAAAAGAACTGTACTCACACAGAAGTACGGGTGGTGAAAATACGAGTATATTGTAACGTGGGGCCTTATGGGCGCCCACGTACCTTCGACGGCGAAACAGCGGCGAACCCGGATTGAGGCTTTAATGCCGAAATCTAAGGTGCGCACCGTGGCGCAGCAAACACCAGACTCCTGAGATCGGATCCTACAGCCAGCGCAGCTGTACTGTAGATCCGTCAAAACACAGCAGCAATGTGTGGGATGGAAATCCCCAGAACAGCAAAACACAACGGCGAATGGCCAATCATGAAGGCGGAGCTATCGGCCTTCACAATATGCCGGTGGACAGTGGTAGTTCGCGGTTCGCGCAAACAGCATCTGCAGATACTAACGGCACTTTGGAAACCGGTTTATTTGTCGGCGTGCAAATCCGGCATTCCTTAACAGCAAGAGGAATTTCAAGTTTCAACCAGCGCAAGAGCTAATCAAGTTCCGAAGAAGACACAGATTCTGTAATCTTGAAAATGTATCACATACACCCACCCTACCAGTAGAGATTGCTGAAGTGCAGTAATATACGATACAATGTAATTCTCTGCCTTTCGAGCTAGGTATGTGCTTCCACAACCATCTCGGACTTTCTGACATTCATTCCTTTATTTGTCTTTCGTATAGTGTCAGATATGTGCAGTGTATACACATGACCTTTTGCATAGCAACATAGAAGTTGCCTGTCATTGTTGTGCTTTGCTGACATTCAGTCAGCGACCTGCGAGTTCGATAATAAATATACATTTATTATCACGTCACGACAAACTGGCGTGAAGGACACAAGACCTCACGCGGTCTAATTCCCTACACACTCATAATGTCTCTCACGACATCGACATCGCCTGCTTCGCCATCAGTCCCCACGACGTCCAGCGAGAAGGCTGGATCAGGCTGATCAAGTTTGAACCCGCGAAGATGACATGGCGATGGTGGCAATTCCAATATCAGAATTTTGTGAAACTGCGCAAGGTCACCGACCCGGAGGATCAAGTACCTGCTTCTGGACTCCCTTGGAATTGACGCCGGGGAAATGCTGTTTTCAATGTGTTTGCCTACGAATCCCGACAATTTCACCACTTCGCAACTTGTGGACAAGCTAGAGCACGCATTTGTGAAGAAAACAAACGCTGCTACGGAGTGGGCCAACTACTTTAAACTCCAGCAGGAGCAGGGCGAGTCGCTGCTAGAATTTTCGAACCGGCTGCGCCGAAAGGCATTTCCCTGCGGATTCCCTGCGGACGTGCTAGAAAAGAATATGTCCGCTACTTTCCTCAACGGAATTTTGAGCGACACCACACGGCAACACCTCCAGTCCCAAACGTACAACACGTTGGAGAAAGCACTGGAGATTTGTGAAGAATATGAGCTGCGCAAGTCCAACAGGAAAGGTCAGACAGCGCCGGATGTGGCGCGCGTCGACAATGCCCGGAGTGGCGGTGGCGGCACCAGCAGAGGACGCGGTCGTGGACGCGGCGGCATGCAGAACCGTAGCAGCCGTCCTGACCGAAAGCCAGCTCCGCGAGAGATGCGTGCGATGGATGTGGCTCCATGCAGCACGAGAGGTCACAGTGCTGGGCGAAAGATCTTGCCTGCAAAAGCTGCGGTAAAAGGGCACATCGCGAAGGTGTGTCGGAGCGGAAAGCAACCTGCAGCAGCAACGAAGAGATGGGCGGCGGACATTCCTGGTGGAGGAGGAATTCGACGTCCTGTCGGTAGACACGACGGGTGGACGATCCATCCACGTACCACTCAAGCTGAACGGCGTGCCCGTGTCACCCGTACTGGACACCGGATCCAGTGTGACCATCTTTACGGCCGACACGTGGCGATCAATCGGATCCCCGAAGCTGTCACCGTATACGAACACTTTACGGAGCTTCACGGGGCACACGCTGAAGGTTATTGGTACTGCGACCGTGGAAGTCACCCACGCACGCACTCGCAAGGCACTGCCGATTGTGGTTGTGGCGACAGGGGGAAACGTGCTGGGTAGGGACTGGATCCGCTCCTTGGACCTCAGCCGACTGAGTCTGCGGGACCTGCAGTCGACCATGGTGTCCACAGTTTCCGGCACACTGGAGGTGGAACAGCTGCTGAAGAAGCACAGTGCTGTTTTCCGTGACGAACTGGGCCATTGCAAACATTACAAGGCTCACCTGCACTTGAAGCCAGGCGCGACGCCTGTATTCCGGAAAGCTCGACCAGTCCCATTTGCCTTCCGCGAAGCACTGGAGCGCGACCTGGATCGCCTGGTGGAGAGGGCATCCTTACACCAGTGGAACGGGCCGACTGGGCAGCTCCAGTGGTGACGGCGCAGAAACGGGCTGGAGACATCCGCACCTGTGCCGACCTTAGCACGGGACTCAACGACGCTCTCGACGTCCAGCAGTACCCGCTGCCGACGCCCGATGAGCTGTTCGCGAAACTGAACGGAGGGAAGCAATTCAGTACGTTAGACCTGGCGGAAGCGTACGCCCAGGTGGAGCTAGATGAAGAAAGCAAGAGCCTGGTGGTAATAAACACGCACAAGGGGTTGTTCCGGTACAACCGACTCCCCTTCGGTGTCGCCTGCGGTCCTTCCGTGTTCCAGCAGATCATGGAGAGCGTCCTCCAGGGATGCGAGGGAGTCGCCATTTACCTCGACGACATCATTGTCACCGGGGCGACGGGAGAGGAGCACCTCCGAAACCTGGAGAAAGTCCTCCAACGCCTGGAAGAGCACGGTTTCACGCTGAAGCGCAGCAAATGCTTCTTCCTTCAGGACTCCGTGGAGTACCTGGGGTTCGTGGTGGACCACCGTGGTCGCCACATTTCCCAGGACCGCGTCAAGGCACTCCGCGAAATGGCCCGTCCGACCAACATCAGCGAACTCCGAGCGTTCCTGGGTCTGGTCAACCATTACGGGAAGTTCGTTCGCGACCTGTCCGGGAAGTGTGCGCCGTTCCACAACCTCCTCAAGGCCGGAGTCCCCTGGTCCTGGTCCAAGGACTGCGAAACGCAGTTCCTGTCCCAAAGGAGCAGATTGTCCGCGCGACGTTCCTGGTTCATTACGACCCGCGGATGCCGCTGGTCCTCGCCGCGGACGCGTCGCAATACGGCGTTGGCGCCGTGATCTGTCACCGTTTCCCGGACGGAACGGAACGGCCAATCGCACACGCTTCGAAGACGCTCACAGCCGCCGAGAAGAACTATGGCCAGATAGAAAAAGAGGCCCTGGCACTGGTGTTTGGGTGCCGGAAGTTCCATCAATATATCGCTGGGCGCGAGTTCACTTTGTGCACTGACCACAAACCGCTGCTCAGTGTGTTTGGTCAACGGAAAGGAGTGCCGGTGGTGACTGCAAACCGCCTCCAACGGTGGGCGCTGATGCTGATGGGATATTCGTTCAGCATCGAATACCGCCGCACCGAGGAGTTTGGCCAAGCTGACGGACTGAGCCGCCTACCACTGCATTCGATGCAGCTGGATGGCCTGCCCGGCCTGGGGATGGACAGTGTGGTCAACGCTGTCCACGTCGACAACGTGTCGCGTTTTCCGGTGTCGGTGGAAGCGATTGCCGAAGAAACGGCCAGAGATCCGGAACTGTCCACCGTGTATGGATACGTCATGAACGGCTGGCCGTTGACGGTTGATGCCCTAGCGCGTCCCTACAAGCGACTTGAGCATGAGCTCGTCACCATCAACGGCTGCGTATGCTGGGGATCCCGGACCGTCGTGCCATCGAAACACCGGCAGCAGATCCTGGAATACCTTCATGGCGCCCACATGGGGGCGGGAAGATGAAGGGTGAAGCGCGAGGATACTGCTGGTGGCCTAACATGGACAAGGACATCGAACGAATGTCCAGTGAATGCCAAATCTGCACTGAACGCGCGAAGGAAACGGCCAAAGTCCCGCTGGCGCAGTGGGAAGTGCCGCATGCACCTTGGAAGCGGCTCCATATGGACTTCGCCGGTCCATTTCACGGCACAATGCTGCTGGTGATTGTGGACGCCATGTCGAAGTGGCCGGAGGTGGTCCAGATGAAACACGCCACGTCCGACGGCGTTCTGGAGGCCCTCCTGAACCTGTTCAGCCGTTACGGAGCCTGCACCGAAATCGTCACCGATAACGGTACGCAGTTCACCTCGCAAGAGTTTGCCGATTTCTGCACGGTTCACGGCTTCCGACATCTTCGGACACCACCTGGCCACCCACAGTCGAACGGCCAGGCGGAGCGCTACGTTCAAACTTTTAAGGACGGAATCAGCAAGCTGATGGCCGACCGGAAGCCATTGCCCACAGCTCTGCGGGAATTCCTGTTCCGGTACCGCAACGCGCCACAGGCCACAACTGGCAAGTCGCTGCACTTGTCGCACCTGCCGCACCGAAGACACCGGATGTACCGAAAGTACCAGTCGCATCGCCAGTGCAGACGGCTGCACTGTCTAACGATGCCTTTCCGGAAGCGGTCACAAAGCAGGATGCTGGTGGACAGATCGCTACTGGTAAAGCACCTGAACTTACATTACCGAATGTTGATAGCGCCAAACCAGTGAAGCCAGGGAATGTGAAGAATGCTAAGAAAACGCCACGCGTTCCTGAAGCGATAACTGATACCAGTTCTCAACTGAAGCCACCGGAACCAGAAGTGCGACGAAGCGGAAGAGACAGAAAAGAACCGGATCGACTAATCGCGGATCCGAAATTCGGGCGCTAGCTTTGTTTTGGCTTTAGTTGAGTGGGTCTCCCCACTGGGGGAGGTGTCAGATATGTGCAGTGTATACACATGACCTTTTGCATAGCAACATAGAAGTTGCCTGTCATTGTTGTGCTTTGCTGACATTCAGTCAGCGACCTGCGAGTTCGATAATAAATATACATTTATTATCACGTCACGACATATAGTTAATAGCCAAACGCTCTTCGGTTGCGGGAAAAGCGAAAACCTGAAAGGTCACATCTCCTGGCCCTTAGGTATTAGCATTTTAAATTGTGCTGTCTATCCTGTGCCGGAAATTGCCGGATGCGTCCATCAGGCTTACCGCGAACACCGGCTTTACATAAACAGCTAATGGATAATTCTGCATATCAGTCTATGCGTGATCCAAATGAACATTTGTTCGCGAGCAAGCGTCAGCCCATCTCAGATGCGCACCTGCGATATAGTCTCGTTTTCTGCTCGCCTCCACAACGATTTGCTGGTTATTTTCTTATAAATTAGTACGAAATCATAAATTTCGTACTAATTGACGTGTATAAACAAGATGTGCAATGGGTGTGCGTGCACGACGTCAGATCGACACTATTCATAAATGACGTATAATAATACCTTACGTGATAGTCATGCGCTGTGCAAATGTGTGTTAAACTGTTAATGGCTGACAAGGGTCGCATATCCTCTCCCTAATTGTTGAATAATTATACATACAAGGTAGCCTCGCGCATCCGCGCTCGGCACGTATGTACTGGAGAGTATTAGCTTAATTTGGAAAGGTCATTAAAAATATAAAAAACCCAGAATTATAGAAAAAAAAGTTTTTTAAGACTATGATTTTAATCGCATATAGGCTTTCGTAGTCGTATTTTATAAGACGTATTGACGTTTAAACGATATTAATTTTTCACGTTCTGACGTTCTCATGTTCCGACGTTCTTAATTTCTGATGTTCTGACGTTTAAAACGTTTCACGTTCTAATGTTCTGACATTCTGATATTCTGACGGTCTGACGTTTCTGAATTTTCACGTTTCGACGTTCTGATGTTCTGACGTTGAGACGTTCAAGATTTCTGACGTTCTTAATTTTACACGTTCTGACGTTCTAATTTTTCTGACGTTCTAATATTCTGACGTTCTGAATTTCCGACTTTCTGACCTTTTAAATTTTTCACGTTCTGACTTCTGATATTCTTTCGTTCTGACGTTTAGACGTTCTGAATTTCTGACGTTCTGACCTTTTAAATTTTTCACGTTCTGACTTCTGGTATTCTGACGTTCTGACGTTTTGATGTTCTGACGTTCTGAATTTCTTACGTTCAGACATCTAACGTTCTTAATTTTTTGCGTTCTGATTATCTGACATTCTGTTTTCTGACGTTCTCATCTTCTGATATTTTTACGTTCTGACGTATGCAGATTACTGAGATAAGTACTGTATATGCGACATAAGGTACGCTGTACCTTTTATGGACGTTTTCCAAATTAGGTAAATTTGCGTACTATTAACACAATAATTTATGGGACACAAATATAAATATGCAAACCAAGAAAAGCACTTTTGTTCACGTCACAGGCAAAACGGAACCATCCAATAAACCGTTGCCCATCTTCGTTGCGTAATTTACGCGCACTTTCTAGCTTTGTGTTCCTTTTTCAAAACTGCATTTTACTGTAGCTTGTAAGCATATTACTGCAGTCTGTAACTAAAATCTTCCCGATGCATTTAATGTAGCTCCGTTAAGCACAGTACTAATAAATTAAAATGTTAAATTAAAATGTGTGAAAACTACAGCTATTTTAGCTTTTTCTTTTGTCAAAATCTCAAATTTGAGCAATTATGCGGGCCACGGCAGTGTGTTTCTCTCCGTTGCTTTTAGAACCAATCCCTGCCTTCTGATGTTTACCAAATTGAAATGACTTCCATCTACCAAATCCAGCTGCTCTGCCAGCCGTTTAGCTAAAACTTGCTCTTCATGTTTCGACCAGTTCCTGTATTTTCTTGAGACCGAACTGTGATTACCGTAGGAACAGGGTAGGAACAGGCACAGGTTCAGATACTGATGGCTCGGAGACGAAGAGCAGAACATGATTAGCTCAGAAACAATAGTGAGTTACAGACTACCGTCGTCAGGTGCTAAACAAAACTATTTCAAACATAACATCACTAGTATGCGAGAGAAACATCAGGGATAACCTGAGGAACCTGCTGATAAGCCTCTTGATCGTAACACATTTCTGTACGATGTACGTTCAAATAAGCTGCTTATTTGAGTTGCCATTTCAAAAAAACTACTCCGGAGTAGTTTCTTTATTTTGCTTATTCTGGGCGGGATATGCAAGTTCTGCATATTTGCGTCACGCAATATGGACCAACTGCCGTAAAGGGGAGGTCGTTGTGACGTGAACAAAAGTGCTTATCTGGGTTTGCATATTTATATTTGTGTCCCATAATTATCATCTACACTAAAAAGCAAGTACGAGTATTTATGCATCCGCTATAGTCTCCGTGGTTACAGTCAATATGTTAAGTAGTTTTTATTGCTGTGCACGAATACGTCTTCGAGTGCTCTTTACGTTTCCTATACTTAAAACGTAGTAGAACCATCTTCTGACCACTGGTTAATAAAAAAAAAACAAAAATCTATTGGCAAACCTATGGAAAATATGGATTTTTTAAGACCAAGCTGGACTAAAACTGACCACGCGTTGACGAGTCTATAAAAACGGCGCATAAATACGTTTTAGTCGGTAAGATTGTATGAATACAAGTATCGGTCGCGCTAGCGCGCGACCAGTTGTGTTTGAGGTATGGAAGTATGAAAGAAATACAAAATATACTTCGTACAGCAATAAAAAAAATTTTGAGAAATATTTCAAATATAAAACCCAGCGAGGCCAGCTGCGAAAACATTTTAAACATGAAGGAATGCGGAATTTTTTCAAGTATTCCGGTTAAATTCGACCGTTTTCTGAAAACTGTGAAAGCCCCCGTAAGTTTTCCTTTTTTCATGGTTCTTTATGGCGTTTTTAGGGTAACTTTATATTACCGATCTAACGAACTGAAAACTTGAATTTTTTGGTTCCACAGATAATATTTTAACGGTGATAAAATGGATTGAGTGGGGTCATATACAGGTCGATCACACCAAGTGTGGGCAGTTGCAAAAAATAAATTAAAAATATTTCTGTAAGTCGTTTTATTGCTTTTTCGGCATATTTCTAATAAAATTTTTTTTTGCAAATCGAGCACCATCAAAACTAATATCTTTTAATGTGTTAGTAGGGAGCCGAGCGGTGTTTTTGGGGAAGGGGCACCTGTCAGTTTTTTCATGGTAATAACTACCCTTGGGAAAATCTCAGCGTTAAGATTGCTGCCTGGAGTTTTCTGGAAGTTATTGTACAGCCCCTAAGATGTTCGTTGGCGTTATTAGCAAAATCTTGCGTGATCAGTGGTCGAGGGGATCTCGACGCAAAGGGCATCTCCCATAGACTTGTATGGTAGAAAGCACCTACCGAGAAATGTGGTTGCCTAGCGCAAGGAGCGGGGAATCTCAAACTAATAATTTCCATGAATGAGACATGGACTACCTGAGTTAATTTTGGGGTGTCGACAAATATCTACAACACAGGAAAGGAGATATAAGTCCTGGACGAATGGAGAAGAAAATTAATGAAGCGATGACTAAAAAAAGTCATGACTGCTGGAGAAAGTGGGCGGATTGGAACGTCTCGAGCCTTTTGTTTTGATGAAAAGTTTTAAGCGGACAGTGAACACTTCCTCCACGTGATTTTGTCAAGAATGCACATTTGAGACACTCCATGGCTGCACTGAGACGGCGGAAGTGGGGTTGCCCACCCTTTCAACGGTGCCCGCACTGACTCTGCAAAGGTCAGGCGGGTTTGGTGAAACTCGGTTCATGGCAGGCATGTTTCGCAAGAGTACTGGTTGGGCAACAGCCCAAACTTATCACTTTTGCGATAAGACGTCAACGAAAGCTCTAAACAAATTTAAAGTCGGAAGACTGCAACCACGGCCGATGGGTCAAGCCCCATTTGCAAGACGGTCGGAAACAATTTCGATATCACTGGGATTCGAAAAACGTTCTCAACAGGGCGATTCAAGTGCAAAACATGTTAGACAGATGCTGCAACCATGTTAAAATGAAATAATTATTTATTTGTTGACGGCTGACATTTTACAATTTTTTAAAAAAAACTGCAAACAGTTGGCGCGATCGACCTGTATCTATACACGATACCCATAAAATACTTACCATTTTTTCAGCGCAGAATTAATGGAAACTTGCGGGGAACAGTTAACGGTCGCCCAAGGTGTCCTTGCAGGCTGCATCTTTAGATACTAATTGTAAGATTTTTTCAGCCATCAGTCAAGCTCTTCAGTATTTATTAAAATAAAATAAATACATGTTTATGAGATTTCGAGGTTAGTGAATGCCCAAGCTACCACCAGTATCACAGAGCCGCCATGTGAGTGAATACGGTAAACGGGCCGCGGGCCGGCTTTTAGATACTTAGAAATTACATATAAATTAGACAATTAAGGGATTTGGCCCGGTACATAGCACCAAATTCGGGTAAATACACGGGAACTTCCACAGTCGCGCAATCCTAAACACTTTTTTGCATGGCTAGCCAGGCTAGGTATGTACCTAATATTCATAACGGCTCTCATACTCATACTCATATTCCTACTTCTAACTCCGAATTCATACTCAAAACGGCCCTTATAATCATAATCATACTTTGGTCCTACCGGTCATCATATTAATTTATTTATAATTATTGCTCATATCTTAACCATTACTCATGCTGGTGTGTCAAAAATGTAATATTCAATTACAACCATGTGTTCATGTAAGTCTACTCAACCGCCCGCTTTCGTCTACTCGTAAAAATTATTTCACCTGAATTAGTAGCGAAAAAATATTTATTAGAAAATGGCTTCATTACAACATGACTTCAGTAAACTTGAACTGAATAACGAAAGCTAAGTAATTTAATCTGCATATAAAAACTGAGCAAGAAAATCTACCATTGTCCACTTTCGTCCATTTGTAAACTAGAGCTAATGAAAAAAAACCTGAAATATTAATGGGCTTGTACGTAGCTTCCACCAAACAAAAAGTGAACGGGCCGTTAACTTTTCATTTCCACAAAACTAAATTTCGACAAAAGCATCGCGTACACTGTACAGCAATGGAACACAGGAACAGTAATAACGCAAATTACTACCCAGGACAAAAGTAGATATCAAAAAAAATTTTTTTTTAAATTCAAGAACGGTGCACAATTTGCGCAACAGCTATTAAAACTTAGTGTCAATATTACGGTTTTTACGATTAATAATTACTATGATGCTTTTACTAATAACATTGAGCGCAGTAGCGCACTGGTATGAGTAGCGGTAAAGGTTTGAGTTATGAATACGAACAAAAATATGATAACCGTTAGGATCAAAGTATGATTATGATTATGAAAGCCGTTTTGAGTAGGAATTCTGAATTAGAAATAGGGTTATGAGTATGAGGACCGTTATGAGAATTAGGGTTTAGGAGCGTGCGACAGCGCAAGTTGTCGTGGATACATACAAATTTGGCGCTATGTAGTATGTAACGGGCCAAATCCCTTAAGACTGCGAGATATTGAGGTACTCAGACATTTCTAGACATTTTTAAAATTTCGAAACTCTGGAGGCTAAAAAAATAGAGGTAACGGCCCCGCGCAGCGGGGCCGAGTCGAAATATTTAGAAATATTTTGAAATTCTGGAAATGTAAAAGCTTTGCAGCCGACTTTGGAAAAATTAATAGTTATTTTGAGGTATTCGAACATGTTTTAAAAACGTCTTAAATGTTTCAAGAATTTAAAAAAAGTTGGAATTTTGAATTTTTGATGGAACTGACAATTTAAATAACACACGCAGGTCTGCAGTTCAGGTTGCTAAGCTGCGAAATTTGTATTTGCTCATTCGAGACGTTTCCAGAATTTACTGGAAATTTCTATGAACTTTAAACGCTAAGTACAGAAAGTTTGAAAGGGTTTCTGAAAACTTTCCGGAAACCAGAAATTTTTTTCCAAGCTGCAGGTAGGAAGCTTTGGAAGATGCTTTATTTTATAAAATTAACAACTTAGTGGAAAAATCAACGTTGAATTAGGAGATAATTTCCAAAACTAGCAACCGTTAAGTACTAATAACCCTTAAGTACTACAACTTTTAAAAATTTTTTTAGACCTTCTCCAAAACTTAAAATTTTTTTAAAGATACAGGTAGCAACGTTTGTGCGATGCTTTATTTTATAAAATTATCAACCTACTGAAAAAATCAATCTTGATTTAGGAGATAATTTCCAAAAAATAAGAACGTAAGGATATATGAATCTATTGATAAAGATACTGTATACGAGTATACTTTGTAATTATTTCTTATTAGTTTTCGGTGACACAACTAAACCTTGAAATAAATCATTACCGGCTGTTTTCTAATGAAGTATCAAGAGCATCCTGAAGCATAGTAAAATACTTAATTATAATTACAGCATGCAGTGACAGTATTGTATTTTATAGGTATACAAAGCGCAGGAGTGTAGTAGGACTGCAGAAAGAAGCCGGTATATTTAGGTACGACTTTTTCGGAAACAATAATTAGCAGCAAAGATGCAGTTATACTGTCGCTCCAAGGGTATGGCAAAACAGCTAACTTCACCAAGTGTTTAGAAGCAGAGATATATCGGTTATATACCTGCATTACTCTTCCTAATCATAATCTCTTCATACAAGCTCTATCACATTCCTGCCCGCTGATTACCTTCAATTGAGTTTTTCGCTTTACGTTCCGATCCATAGGTCTAGCTAGGTATGGTTAGGTATGTTTCAAATGTTGAGCGTGGTAAATTATGCTTGCATCATGTTCAGTGTAGTATTTTGGCAAGCTGATGGTTTTGGAGCGCGTCCCTTTGGAAGCTTGTGATCGTTATCGTCATCATCCGGGATCGCATCGTCGGAACAAAGCCTGCTTTCATTTATCAGCAGGTGCATGGGTGCCACATCTAATGCAGCCCTGGGATGTCCATGTGCCGGAAATGGAAAGCGCTGCAAAAATCCCTTGTCCCTCTGTCACAATTTTAAATGCATTTGTGACTCATCGATTAGCACGACAGTCAGTGGTCAATGTGTCGCCATCATCAGGTTGACTACTAGCGACAGAACCACTGCCGCTACGACAACAACTACTACAACAACTACAACTTCAACCACCAGTACCACTACTACTACTTCTACTTCGACGCCTGCTTGCCCTGCGATTGCTACTCCCGCCGCTGCCGGATGTACGAATAAGTGTGACACCAGCCTTTCTACTGACGCTAAAAGCAAGTGCAAGGCCACTTCCGCCAATGATATAGCATATTTTCCTCTGACGACTCCCAACCCTGCCGGGGATACCATCCTGGAAATCCTTAACGTGCATAATAATTACCGAAGGTCGGAGTCCGCTCAGGGTATGAACAAACTGGACTGGAGCGACTGTGCAGCCAGTAACGCACAGTACTGAGCCAACACGTGTCCTACAAATCATGACACATCCACCAGTCGCCAGATACCTGGTATGGCAGAACTAGTACTAAGTATTTATAATTCATTTATTCTAAATAACATACGCTACGAGACTTGCGCCACTGGCGACTGTCTCTGCGCTAAAACATGAAAACAGCCGGGACCTGTAATAAGAGAATTGTCTGTTAAAAACTGCTGAAGGAAATTGGCACTTAAGGTGTGAAAGCGAGAAAAACTCAAAAAACAATTTATTGTACAATGACTTTTCCTCTGTTCAATTCGCCTTGGAAAATATAGTAACTTTCATGCAATCGATGCAGGAGCTCGTGAATTTTCAATAGCTTTTAGGATGCAATCCGTAATCACGCTGTACAGATACGACCGAGTGAGACCGGTTGCATTGCCCACTGGAAGTCCTACCACCCCTTTGTCTCAAACATTTAGCTCTGATTTGTTCGAACATTTGCATGCAATCGTATGCGCAAGAGATTTTTGCAGTAATCGCATTGCTGTTTAAAGGAATACAGAGTGCAGCCAATATTCTTGGGGGCGCGAGGCGGAAAGATCTGGCACACACAGGTGTTAACGTTTGTGCGGTGTTGGGTGCAACGGGAATTCAAGGCATTTCCAGCATAAATTAATAACAATACCCAGTTAGCTCTATTCATGTGAATGCAGTTGGTGTCCTGCGCAAGTGGAAGAATGTGTAAATCGGATGTCGTTGTCACTGTAGTTCAAATTATTTAGACTACGGAAGGCCGATTCGAGAGAGGTGAAAAGGTCATTTATTATCCGGAACTTTCGGAAGTGTTCTGGCGAGCGCTCGTCAGATTTACGTACGCTTTACAATCATACGGCGAGTTCGAAAACTGCCAGATGACTGTATAATTGTAAGAAACATTGGCTTTGTTTTTTGTTGCACGCATTAAATTGCGTATATATAAACGTCTTGCTCCTTTATGTAAACGCATACGTAGACATATAACTGGGATTGGTAATTTGGGAAACGGTACGCGGCGTTGCGGCATTGTGGTGGTGTATGTTGGAATCATTAGAATTATTGAGTATTTCTTTATTCGTGAAACACAGTTCAACAAAACATAAACTGGTTTTGCTGACACTTTTTGTCAGCAGCAATACGGACAGCGTCGCTAGGAACAAGCGCGAGTCCTTTGTACAAGGTCGAAGCGAATCCCACAGATATACACCCAAGATTTAAGTTAAGATCTTTTGGATTTTAAACTATTTATCAGTGTGACCGCGTCTGACCTTCGTTTGCTCTCGAGTAGCTTGATAAATACATACAAACACAAGTCGATTAGCTGCGAACTTGCGATAAAATAAAGGCGATGGCCTCGTATGTATGGTACGACTTTTCTTCCGGCGCTTACACGGAAAATGAGGATGGATACGGATACAGTACACAATAGTTCATGCAGTTTTGTTAGAGCTTCAGTACCCATTAATGATCACACAACTCGATCATTAGCCATTCTTATTACAGAAACCGAATTTTAAAAAATCCCCGTACCCTAACGCTAATGACGACCCCCTGTTAACTGTAAATTGGCGGAAATGTAATGGCAGTCGGCAAGTCACATAAGGTCAGCCGCATCCAGTGAACGTTTTCGCTTGGCAACTTCCGGTGTGTTGCTCTCCCCGCTCGCCTCCTGCGCTTTTTTCCACTCTTCGACTGATCGCATTTTATAGCAATCTCCTCGATCCACGCCATCCGTTTTTTGCCAGCCACATCGATAACGTGAGCGCCCACATCCGGCATCTTATAAACTGCTTCCATTTTGCGGCCCCCACGGCCGGGATCCAACCACGCGATCGTTTGCCCACTGGTCAGAATGTCGGAGGCCCGAACCCTTTTCTCCGTTTCGACCTTCGTGGTCTGCCTTAATTCCATCGACCAGCAGACGACGGCGGTTCCGCATCGTCTGATCGCTTCGGCCGGATACCAGTACTGTTTGCCTTGCACGAAAATTTCCTCGCTTTCTTGAAACTGCAAACCGGCAATACGTGGTCGGGCAGCAAACGGCAGCGAAGGTTTCGGTGTGGTGTGCTTATATATGTGGATTTCTGACAGCTGGGATGTGTCCAGTAACCCATTCTGCAGAATGCAAAATGGTTTGCCAATTCGCCCCAGAAAGGTCTCTCTGAAGTGGTCTAACACGGTTCGAAACATGGCTAACCATAAAAAATGTAGCGACTTACACTGGCGGGACCGTCGTTCAGCTGCTTGTCCGTCATCAGCGGGAACCGAATCAAAAAACTGAGGTCACCCAGCGCCTCGCGCCGGTTAGTCGGCGATGGCTCCAGATTGTTCCGGGCGCAGGTAGCCGCCGCCCACCTGCAGATTAGACCACGCAGTTCGAGTAACGGGAAACAGTGCACGCAAAAAAGCTAAAGTTGTTTGCATGGAGGCAGTAAGTAGTACTTATTTTACTACAAGTAAGTACAGCCACAGGTCACTGTCGCGTACGTCGATATCCCAGCAGCTATGTGCTGTTTCACTTTTTAGTTCTTACTTCTTCCTGCTGCACTTCCTGTAATTCTGGTACCAGCTGGCTGCAGTTTACATCATTTAATTGTCATTACATTTACATCGTTACATTGTACTCGTAATGTATATTGTGTCTGTAGTATTACTTTATTGCAGTATACACATACAATTCTTCACAGTATTAGGTATTAGGCACATAAGTGACTCACATAAGTCACCTTTCACCTATTACTAAATAGTACTATATACCTATTTACCAAAATTAATACTTTGTGCGTAACTACTAAACACTTTATACGTACTTATATCCCGCTGCGCCTGTAGTATTCGTACATAGCGGTTATGGTCTTATGGATATAATCATTATTTACAGTCCGTCCAGACAACTTTGCTTACTTATCCACGGCGGCGAAAATGATGCGCTCGGCAGCAAAAAGGGTGAGGAAAAACGAAGTTTTATCAGTGTTCGTTCGAATAATCGCCCTTAATAAGTGCAATCTGGAAGAGGCGAGACACGGGTTACATGCTGCATGCGATACGGCGGTCAGCGGTATTAAGGTATACACAAATCCCGTGCCTGTGGTAAAGGTCACTTCGGCAATGGTAGAAAACTGTCAAACGATCATCTTATTAGTGTTAATAGCGTGATAAAGCTAAAATATGTAGTCAGGCATTCAATAACCACCACCCTCATCCTGCTTATATAATTAACAGCCTTTCATAGAAAACGAAAATACGTCTTTAGACTCGAACGCGGTTAAGCTTCTGGCTGGCCCCTTTATCGTGAAACAAATAAACCAATATCGTATCGTAAAACTAAAACAACTAGCGGAAGTAATAAGTGATGAATGGCTGTAAAAGATGTTAAGAGAGATGAATGTCATACTCAAAATAAGAACATCTCAAATTCCCAACTTGCAGAAATAAATGTGCCTAACATTGCTACACGGTATGGACACACTGGCCTGCAAAATGATGACGTTTAAGGAAGTACCGATCCATACGCAAAGCACTATCGGCTGTGGGTGTACATTTTTAAGAAGTCCACTGTATATATGCCTCATCGGTTACGTTAACCCTCCACGTGCCGCATTAATCTGTAGGAATGGAAATCTGTCCGATATATGCGCTAACCGCAGTTTCATCTCCACGTCCATCGAATAAACCCGTCGTTTACGTCGCTCTTTAAAACTCTGTATTAACGCCTTCAATTCATTTCTATCAGGCATCGTCCTGTCTTGACGTAGATGCGCCTTTGTACTTTGGCCCCGCACCTCTGTCCACGCCCTGACATCGGCATCCCGGATTCGCAGATCCATAAATTGCACCAATCGCGCTCCTCGTCCGGCGAATCGAACCTTATGTGCGCTGCCCTGCATAAGCGGACGAGCATACTCAGCCACCTCCTTGTGCACCAGCACCGCTTTTCCACGGACGAGGAAGTCTGCAGCACGAATAATTTTCTCCTGGAGAACCAACACCACCTCACCACCTAGGCATTCAGCACACAGCGACACAACAACGTGCGGCGGGGCGTCCCGCGATGACTTTCGCCGGCAGCCAGCATTCCGCGCCCTGATTCACGAAGACCGGCTCATTGTGTCTGAGCTCCACGCCGCCGATGCGGCTAACGGAGGCTTGGCGGGGCGCCGTGGGAAATTGGAGTGGTGGTTTGATAGTCGCGTTCTTGTAGTGATTAATATCCGACAGCTCCTTTTGTGAGAGCAAACCCATCTGTGCAATCCAAAGAGGTTGTGAATTATTTAAAAATACAGTTGTACCTCTCATTGTAAACATTTCCTGCTACTAATGCAGCAGCAACGCAAGCCCTTTACCTTCATAGAGGCGATAGTGAGCAGGTCGCTTGTTAGCAGCGGAAAGCGGATGAGATAGAAGGCCTCACCCAGAACCTGCCGCCGGTTGGCGGCGGTTGGATCCAAATTCTTGCGAGCGCAGGCCGCGAACGCCCACCTGAAACGTAAAGGAAATTATCCACGTCGTAAAAAATGCAAAATTCTGGTATTATTCTACTGACTTCTCGGCCGCCCTGTAGACGTTGTTTTCGTCGACGACGAGTGTATCGCGTCGAAGCAGCATGATCAGCGTGTCCTGCTGCAGCGCAGTAAAGTCATCCAAGAACAGCACTTCAATGTAAGTGTCCACCAGCTCCCAACAAGCATCCACGCACTCTGCGGCGCCCAAGCGCACGGCCTGAAAAGCAAATCAAAACAGCACGCGTAATGAAAACCATTATAAAATGTAAACAGTGCAGAACACGGCATACACTATCGAGGAACAGCAGGCAGTTGCTAGCGCGCAGACTGCGGGAGACATACTCGCAGCAATGCTGCAACAGTGCCGGCAGGTGGTATTCCAAGGCTATGTTCATCGTGGCGAAGACGTTGTGGGGGCTGAGATTAGCCAGTGGATCCTCACGACACTGTACATGGCTGAAAACACCAGGCATCTATCTATGTGCTCAACTAAAGTCAAAACATAAATAATTCTGCAGCTACTTACCTATACAGTGTTGATCTTTACAAATTACAATTCGCTAGTAAAGTCAAGTATCTGTTCTGCGTAATAAGTGTAACAGCAACTGTGACTTGTGGTTCGAAGAACTACCCGGGTAGCTGACTCACGTTCATCAGCTGACTCAAGTACCTGAGTAGGTTGGAGAAAGCGTCTGGCAGAACATCGTCAGCCCGGATAACGCAGGTATCAGTTTGGGTTGCATCACCGTAAAACATTGCACGAAACATGGGGCTCGCATTATCCAACGAAGACCTGCAAAATAGTCAGATCTTTTGCCAACTACAATGCAACGGAATTATGATGCTTGAAGGAAAAATGTCGTACTTGGATGCTGAGAAAGTTTTCTCCTGACCATGATTCCGCCCGACAACAAACTGCACAAACTCCGACATGATTTAACAGAGCCGTTCACGAACAGATCACAAAATGACGAAATATATTTTAAGCTGCAACACTTCTGGTGAAACATCAGGTGATCTGCTATCTGAGCCTATCTCCAGAAAGTTGAAAAACTCCAGGCACGTAGTCGAAACAGCTGATTGTACTTACAAGATTGAATGACTTTTCTGCAACACACTGCCGTTACGGGTGGGAGACAGTCGCCGCCCCACCGGACAGTGGACAACGTTATTGGAGGCACATTACGAGAATTATGGCGCAGTAGGTATGCCATATGCGCAGAATAAGCGCAAAGCCCACCCCACGGGTGGCGTTGGTATCCATTTCCGGTTGCAACTTCCGGTGACAGCAATAAGTACGTTTTTGCGTCTGCTTAGCATAGGTTATTAGGTTCTACGAACTTACATTTCTCTCTTTTATGATTTCATCGTTTTCGAAATTTCGTCAAGACATTTTACGAACAGTTGGCTTCCTGACGACGTCGCCTTCGTTTCTTGTTTGGTTTCAATGGTTTTCAGTTTGGATATCTTGCAAGATGAGTACATATACTCATCTTGCAAATTGCGGTATTTGAGCTGTCCTCTTAAAGTCCTAATTCCCAATCTTTTACGCTCCTCGTTAAACAGTTAGTTGTTTCGCAAACCCTCGCGATCCGCGGAGCAGGCTCATTGGATGATCTACCATGTCTGGCAACTTTTCTTTCCCTGTGTATTACAAACGTCGCGGCGCACTGGATGGAGTAGCCAGTCGTATGAAGCGTGCCTTAACTGCAGCCGAACTGAGTGATGTGCAGTTCGCTGTGGGACGCGATCATGGCGAAGTGAAGATCTTTCATGCACATAAGTACGAGTGAATACTCCCACAGGAGGTCCCATGAATCTGTACTTCGATTGCGTTTTCGTTTCGTTTAGACAAGAAGAGGTGCGCCTCGGAGCGACAAGGGCCTACAAATGTGACCCCAGTATCTCGTCTCTTCCCGATATGGCTGATGATTGCTCGGAATCAGCTGGTAGCAGCGGTACCCACAAACAGTCCTGCTAAGCCGGTAGCTGGTGGTCTTTCATCCAGAGCAACCCAACACTCGAGTACAGAACGAAAATCCCCCAGGTCTAGGTTCAATACCTTCATTCCGGCCACGAGTGCCTTTCACGGCGAGAGCACGGCATTTTCGTGTTGTTTCGTGACATGTATGTTCTGTGTGTGCGTGTGTGTGGAACAAGTTTTCGTGTGAAGACAAGAAGAGGTGTGCCTCCGTGCGACAAGGGCCTACAAATGTAACCCAGTATCTCGTCACTTCACGATATGGCTAATGGTTGCTCGGAAGCATTTGGTAGCAGCGGTACCCACAAACAGTCCTGCTAAGCCGGTAGCTGGTGGTCTTTCATCCAGAGCAACCCAACACTCGAGTACAGAACGAAAATCCCCCAGGTCTAGGTTCAATACCTTCATTCCGGCCACGAGTGCCTTTCACGGCGAGAGCACGGCACCTTCGTGTTGTTTCGTGACATGTCTGTTTTGTGTGTGCGTGTGTGTGGAGCAAGTTTTCGTGTGAAGACAAGAAGAGGTGTGCCTCCGTGCGACAAGGGCCTACAAATGTGACCCCAGTATCTCGTCTCTTCCCGATATGGCTGATGGTTGCTCGGAATCAGTTGGTAGCTGCGGTACCCACAAACAGTCCTGCTAAGCCGGTAGCTGGTGGTCTTTCATCCAGAGCAACCCATCATTCGAGTCCAGAACGAAAATCCCCCAGGTCTAGGTGCAATACCTTCATCCCGGCCACGGGTGCCTTTCACGGCGAGAGCACGGCACTTTCGTGTTGTTTCGTGACATGTCTGTGTTATGTGTGGAGCAAGTTTTCGTGTGAAGACAAGAACAGGTGTGCCTCCGTGCGACAAGGGCCTACAAATGTGTCCCCAGTATCTCGTGTCTTCCCGATATGGCTGACGGTTGCTCGGAAGCATTTGGTAGCAGCGGTACCCACAAACAGTCCTGCTAAGCCGGTACCTGGTGGTATTTCATCCAGAGCATTCCACCATTCGAGTCCAGAACGAAAATCCCCCAGGTCTAGGTGCAATACCTTCATCCCGGCCACGGGTGCCTTTCACGGCTAGAGCGCGGCATTTTCGTGTTTTTTAATGACATGTGTGTTTTGTGTGTTCGTGTGTGTGGAGCAAGTTTTCGTGTGAAGACAAGAAAAGGTGTGCCTCCGTGCGACAAGGGCCTACAAATGTGACCCCAGTATCTCGTCTCTTCCCGATATGGCTGATGGTTGCTCGGAATCAGTTGGTAGCTGCGGTGCCCACAAACAGTCCTGCTAAGCCGGTAGCTGGTGGTCTTTCGTCCAGAGCAACCCACCATTCGAGTCCAGAACGAAAACCCCCCAAGTCTAGGTGCAATTATTTCATCCCGGCCACGGGTGCTTTCACGGCAAGAGCACGGCATTATCGTGTTGTTTCGTGACATGTGTGTTTTGTGTGTGCGTGTGTGTGAAGCAAGTTTTCGTGTGAAGACAAGAAGAGGTGTGCCTCCGTGCGACAAGGGCCTACAAATGTGACCCCAGTATCTCGTCTCTTCCCGATATGGCTGATGGTTGCTCGGAATCAGTTGGTAGCTGCGGTACCCACAAACAGTCCTGCTAAGCCGGTAACTGGTGGTCTTTCGTCCAGAGCAACCCACCATTCGAGTCCAGAACGAAAATCCCCCAGGTCTAGGTGCAAATATTTCATCTCGGCCACGGGTGCCTTTCATGGCAAAAGCACGGCATTTTCGTGTTGTTTCGTGACATGTGTGTTTTGTGTGTGCGTGTGTGGAGCAAGTTTTCGTGTGAAGACAAGAAGAGGTGTGCCTCCGTGACAAGGGCCTACAAATGTGACCCCAGTATCTCGTCTCTTCCCGATATGGCTGATGGTTGCTCGGAATCAGTTGGTAGCTGCGGTACCCACAAACAGTCCTGCTTAGCCGGTAGCTGGTGGTCTTTCATCCAGAGCAACCCAACACTCGAGTCCAGAACGAAAATCCCCCAGGTTCTAGGTGCAATACCTTCATCCCGGCCACGGGCGCCTTTCACGGCGAGAGCACGGCACTTTCGTGTTGTTTCGTGACATGTCTGTTTTATGTGGAGCAAGTTTTCGTGTGAAGACAAGAACGAGGTGTGCCTCCGTGCGACAAGGGCCTACAAATGTGACCCCAGTATCTCGTCTCTTCCCGATATGGCTGATGGTTGCTCGGAATCAGTTGGTAGCTGCGGTACCCACAAACAGTCCTGCTAAGCCGGTAGCTGGTGGTCTTTCATCCAGAGCAACCCATCATTCGAGTCCAGAACGAAAATCCCCCAGGTCTAGGTGCAATACCTTCATCCCGGCCACGGGTGCCTTTCACGGCGAGAGCACGGCATTTTCGTGTTTTTTCGTGACATGTGTGTTTTGTGTGTGCGTGTGTGTGGAGAAAGTTTTCGTGTGAAGACAAGAAGAGGTGTGCCTCCGTGCGACAAGGGCCTACAAATGTGACCCCAGTATCTCGTCTCTTCCCGATATGGCTGATGGTTGCTCGGAATCAGTTGGTAGCTGCGGTACCCACAAACAGTCCTGCTAAGCCGGTAGCTGGTGGTCTTTCATCCAGAGCAACCCATCATTCGAGTCCAGAACGAAAATCCCCAGGTCTAGGTGCAATACCTTCATCCCGGCCACGGGTGCCTTTCACGGCGAGCACGGCACTTTCGTGTTGTTTCGTGACATGTCTGTTTTATGTGTGGAGCAAGTTTTCGTGTGAAGACAAGAACAGGTGTGCCTCCGTGCGACAAGGGCCTACAAATGTGACCCCAGTATCTCGTCTCTTCCCGATATGGCTGATGGTTGCTCGGAATCAGTTGGTAGCTGCGGTACCCACAAACAGTCCTGCTAAGCCGGTAGCTGGTGGTCTTTCATCCAGAGCAACCCACCATTCGAGTCCAGAACGAAAATCCCCAGGTCTAGGTGCAATACCTTCATCCCGGCCACGGGTGCCTTTCACGGCAAGAGCACGGCATTTTCGTGTTGTTTCGTGACATGTGTGTTTTGTGTGTGCGTGTGTGGAGCAAGTTTTCGTGTGAAGACAAGAAGAGGTGTGCCTCCGTGCGACAAGGGCCTACAAATGTGACCCCAGTATCTCGTCTCTTCCCGATATGGCTGATGGTTGCTCGGAATCAGTTGGTAGCTGCGGTACCCACAAACAGTCCTGCTAAGCCGGTAGCTGGTGGTCTTTCATCCAGAGCAACCCACCATTCGAGTCCAGAACGAAAATCCCCAGGTCTAGGTGCAATACCTTCATCCCGGCCACGGGTGCCTTTCACGGCAAGAGCACGGCATTTTCGTGTTGTTTCGTGACATGTGTGTTTTGTGTGCGTGTGTGTGGAGCAAGTTTTCGTGTGAAGACAAGAAGAGGTGTGCCTCCGTGCGACAAGGGCCTACAAATGTGACCCCAGTATCTCGTCTCTTCCCGATATGGCTGATGGTTGCTCGGAATCAGTTGGTAGCTGCGGTACCCACAAACAGTCCTGCTAAGCCGGTAGCTGGTGGTCTTTCATCCAGAGCAACCCCACCATTCGGAGTCCAGAACGAAAATCCCCAGGTCTAGGTGCAATACCTTCATCCCGGCCACGGGTGCCATTCACGGCGAGAGCACGGCACTTTCGTGTTGTTTCGTGACATGTCTGTTTTATGTGTGGAGCAAGTTTTCGTGTGAAGACAAGAGGAGGTGTGCCTCCGTGCGACAAGGGCCTACAAATGTGACCCCAGTATCTCGTCTCTTCCCGATATGGCTGATGGTTGCTCGGAATCAGTTGGTAGCTGCGGTACCCACAAACAGTCCTGCTAAGCCGGTAGCTGGTGGTCTTTCATCCAGAGCAACCCACCATTCGAGTCCAGAACGAAAATCCCCCAGGTCTAGGTGCAATACCTTCACCCCGGCCACGGGTGCCTTTCACGGCAAGAGCACGGCATTATCGTGTTGTTTCGTG